ATATATATATATATATATATAAATATATAATCACTAATTTATCAATCAATCAAAAAGAAATTTACAGAACAAACGTTAAGAAAATCAAAAATTTGAATTTGTTTTGTTTAAATTCCACAGGCAACGCCAGGCACTTCAGCTAGTTTATATTTAAAACTGTGACATATTAGTGCTGCTTTTGCTTTTGTGCCCAGAAGCCCGGCATTTCTACCCAGGAGGAATTCCGATCTTTGTTTACATTCTTAGTTATTGTTTAGATAAAACTAGTTCCTGGCCATTCTAATCCAGTATACCCCCCCCCCCCACATTGAGTTGAGGTACTTTCAAAACTAATTTGAATAAAAACAAGTTTACTTTATCAAGTTCCTAGACATAATCGCAATTATTTTTCAACTAAACTTGAAAGAAATATTAAATGGAATTAAACAAATGATTCAATTCTATTCCAATAAAACTTTTAAGTGGCACAACAAAGCATTCCACGGATAAAAAGAAATAAGGGGAAAAACTATAAAATTATATAATTATATTATATAATATTAAGAATTAGTTTTATTTTATTTTTAAGAAAACTGTCCACAAAACCTTCAAGTATCTTATAAATGTATTATATCTAAAAATGCAACATATTTAAAGTAACAATATTTAAAATAACAATAATAGTAATAATGATAATAATAATGATAAAAGTGTGATATATAATGAGTATCACACTTTTATCATTATTATTATCATTATTACTATTATTGTTATTTTGTAATAAGTTACCCCAAGAAGATCAAAGAACTGGATAAGAGGATAATCGAACAGATCCAACTCTACTGGAACCTAGAAGTAATATAATAATTAGACATATTGCTAAACAGCTTCAGAAAGAGATGCAAGATATAAAATGTAACCTTTTTATATTCTGCCAGACCAAATAATCCGTTAAAATATCTAAATAATCTTGAATTTGGCTTAAAACCCAACAAAATTGAAACATTTCAGATAATTCATTTCTTCAACAATTTTCAAGGCATTTATCATTCACTTTTTTTACCTATGAATTTGAATAAATTTGAGATCCTAAATATTTAATCAAGAAAATAATGTGAAACAATCTAAAATATATTGTTGTAGAAAGTAAATTATAGATTTTTGACGAAATATGTTATAGATAGATATAAATATTTGACTATATATTTTAATAAAAAACAATTACAGGTAGTGGACAATTTTTCATTTTAATTTAGCGAGGACCACTCTAACCATTTCTGGTTGTTTTGAATAAGAGGCCCTTTAAATATTTTGGTTCGTATTATATACCAAAAGTTTTGCATTATTATTTAAACAGATTTACCTTCGGTAAACTGATAGAGGCAACTTCTCCTAACATGTTTAAGATTGTATTTAAGAAATAAGCAAAATATTAAAAAAAATCAAGGTAGAATTGTTGAATTAAGAAATCAAATCAGAGCGAAAACTCTTGAGCTTGATTTCCTCTTTTTGTTAATTTAGTTAATTATTTGATATCCCTGAAAGTGTCTAAATTCAACCTCAGGGTGTCGTTTGCAGAGAATGAACAGCCAATCGGAAGCCGGAAAAGTTTGCACGTGATCAAAGACAGAACTCTCATTGGTCAGAACCCAGCAGGGATATCCAAAAGAGAGGATTAAACAGAAAATCAAAACAAGAGTTCCCAGCTCAGATTGAATAAGTCATCAACAAATTGTGAAACCAAATCTGAAACAATGGTTTGAAATGTGTGATGTGTACACTGTACACTGTACAGTACAAACAACAACATTTACAGTAATGTACAGTGAACTTAATTTATATAAATAATAGAATAATCTGAAACGTTTTTCTTTCCAAGACCTAATATGTGCAGTATTGTACACAACCTATGTACAATCTAAATCCTGCCTAAACACCAGAAGCGTACTGATCGGCCAGGCGAAGGTAGAGGGATATCGTACAGCAAATTGTAAATAAAAGACTCTATAAGTACACAAACCGTTCGAAAAGGTACATGGGGAAACAACAAAATAAAATATCTTTCTTTTATCTTGGAATTAATCTTATTTCAATCTTGTTATCTTTGGTCAGAAGAATAAAATGTAAATTTTGGGAGAAAAAAGTCAATCATAACAAAATAAGGTTGGTAAAATTTGAATATTTCTGATTTGAAAGAAATTGAATCAATTCAAGAATATACAGACAGGGTTTCTCAGTCATTTTCAAGCGAAATTTTTATTAATCATTTAGTCAACTTTAAGCTAAAAATCTATATCTACGAATAGATTTAACAAAACACCCAAAATTTGTCGTTGTGGGGGGGGGGGGGTGAGGGATTATTAAAAGTTTGATAATATTCCTAGTATATTAATATCATAGTCTGTACGGTTGATGAATCGATGAATAGAGTGCAGAACCTAAACAAAATAATTTAGAAAAAAGAATCTTTTGTTCTTTTTTTTTCTTTATTCTTTTATAAAATCCCCATTTTTACAGCTAACTGCACCCCACTCCCATTTAATTTAAAAGTGTAGTTGTTTATTAATGTTTTTCTGTTAATTTATGTTAAATTTATTGTTCACTTTACAGTGTACATAGTGTATTTATATATATTAAAAGTTGTAATCTCTATTTGTTTGTTTGTTTGTCCGATCATAACTCAGGAACCCATTTATCGATTCGTCTCAATTTTGATTGGTAAACTCGGGAGAACCATGGGCACATTAAGAGATTCATTCTAAGTTGAGTGGGTCGATTTTATCAGGGAAACTAAAATCGTAAATTACGACCGAGCGCGGGTAAACGGCGGTGGTCAACTTGAGTAACCTGGACAATGCTGGGTTCCCAAGCTAGTGTTGTATATTGTATAACCTGGCTAGCTGCATGCTGAAGAGGAAGAGAACAAATTAAAGAAATAGATTTAGTAGCGTACAACGTGTCATTTCTGAATTCAATATAAAAAGTTTTTTTTTTTCTCTTAATGCCATATAAAGTATATACCTGTCCTCTTTATAAACAGAAAGAAATGCAATTAGTATAAACATGTTATGAAACATTACAAGGAGATTAACAAAATTTATCTTTCTAAAAAAAATGAATCAAAAATAAAAAGAATCTAAAACATCTTTTCAAATTAAATATTGATTTTAACCAGATGAACCTGCCATATATGTACACTGTACATACAATGTACACTGTACATACACTGTACACTGTACATACACTGTACACTGTACATACACAGTACGCTGTACATAGAGTGCAGTTTACACGAAGGCATATTTCCTAAAAAAAGCGATCAAGATGAGGTTGCAGAGTTTTATTCAGCTTTAAGAAATTAAAATAAGATTTATATTTTGTTCCTGTAATCATAGCTGGCGGTTGAAAGCTCTAGAGTGGAACCTAGATAAAATGAGTTCATTCAAAAATCGCAAAATCCAAAAATTTTGCCTAATCTTAAAAAGTTTTAGACCATTTCATGTCGTAAATGGAAAATTACACCATTATTAGTGTGAGAGATCAAAATTACCCCCTAACCCCTGCTTTTTATAAAGTGCCTAAAGTGTAAAAGATGAATCTTAAAGGTTTTCTTTACAGGGAGTAAGTAATAGAAGAAAGATATAACTGACGCGGTTCGCCCTACAATATGATTATTGATTTTACATGCTTTGCAGACGGTACTCCATTTGTATAAGAAATATACGCGGTAATTGTACATCAGACAAATATTTCTTATTCAAATGAAGTACCGTCTGCAAAGCCTTCTATTCTATACTCCCTGGTTTGTTTACCTGAGAGCCGGGTAGTATAATGCCGTGGCAAAGACCTCGATCTGTAAGGAAGAACAATAAAAAAAATCCTCCATGTTTGCAAAAAAATAGCTAAATCATACAAAATTAATAAAACAACTTTGCGTCTACATACCTCCACTAGTTTTCCATAAACATAAACTTATGGTTGCCAAAGATGATTTAAAAACAATGTTCCCAAAACCAAAGCTCTTAAAGGGACTGAAGCGTAATTTCAAGTAACCCTCTATGCAAAGATGGCAATGCCCGATTAACAACGATACCCTTAAAAGCTTTGTCCAATCAAGTATGAAATAAATATTTATGTTTTTGTTTCTTAAAAATGTTTATTTCCATTTGCGGTTTCTCTGTGAAAGTGACTTGCGCATTTCTTGCTTGTAAGAAACATATTAAGAAAGTCACAGAAATTAACACTTTCCCCAGTCAGAAAACGACGTTATCTTTCATTTTTTTTTATCAAATTAAGGTTCCTAGGATACCAAAAGAAATCGGAAATTACCATATTTGCATGGAGGGACACATGAAATTACGATTACAGTCCCTTTATAACTAAGATTGTAGTATAAAACTTTAAAGAAATATTTTTACCTAGCATTATTTTGTCTTCCAGCTGAGCTTGGTCGGACACGTTCTGTTTTCTTAATAGTTCCACATTCTAAAGAACATTTGATTTATTCCATTTTTTTATTTTATAGAATATAAGACATATCCTTGTTTGAAGTTGTTAAGCGCACTCCTGTGCGCAGGAGTGCGCGTGTATGTTCCTTTAACACTGAAATGGAAACAGATGTGGATATATCTATATCACACTCTTAATAGAAAAACATATTGTTCTTTTATAATTAAAAAAATTACAGCGCTGAGAAATCAAAATATAAATATTATTTATTTCTTGCAAGCGCAACGAAGATTTAACTAGAAATTCGAAAAATTGTTTGTTTCAATTGCAATGTAGATTACACTAAAAAATTCGGGAAATTGATAGTTTCAATTGCAATGTAGATTTAACAAGAAATGCGTAAAATTGCTTGTTTAAATTGCAATGTAGATTTAACTAGAAATGCGGGAAATTGTTTGTTTAAATTGCAATGTAGATTTAACTAGAAATGCGGAATTCGGGAAATTGATAGTTTCAATTGCAATGTAGATTTAACAAGAAATGCGTAAAATTGCTTGTTTAAATTGCAATGTAGATTTAACTAGAAATGCGGGAAATTGTTTGTTTAAATTGCAATGTAGATTTAACTAGAAATGCGGAAAATTGTTTGTTTAAATTGCAATGTAGATTTAACTAGAAATGCGGGAAATTGTTTGTTTAAATTGGGATGTAGATTTAACAATAAATGCGGAAAATTGCTTGTTCAAGAAGACAATGATTTCAATTCAGGATATGTTCGAAAACGGAAAACCTGACATTGTCTTGAAAACGGTCAAGGGTTTTAATATAAAAAACTCCTTTTATAATTTTGATTCCAGAAAATTAGTTTAAATGGGGTATTTTTGTCCTCGTGATGCTTAATAAAATGTTGGTTATAGTTTTCACTTTCAACTTTTAAACTCAATATGGGCCGGGATTCTAAAACCCCAGTCTTTTCAATTTGGGCCCATTTCTAGCACTCAGAATTGGGCCAAGTTTTAGTTTTGGAACTAATGTCCCCTAAACTCAATTAATAGGAAAATATGTAACTTAGATTTGATTTACTATTTTCAATTAAATATTTTTTTTCAACGTAAATTCAATATTAAAATTTAAAGCCAACAAATTTTAGACGAGTTTTCGACAAACAATTGTCATGCTTTACATGTTAGCAGATTAGGCTCGGTCGTGGCACTTTTTTGAGTGTACAGAGGGCGTGCTTAGCTGAATGTGCTTGGCACAAACCAGACGCTTCCGCAGGTGAGAAGGCGTGGTACATACCAGACGTTCACCTAGCTGAGAAGGCGTGGAACATACAAGACGTTCACCCAGCTGAGAAGTGGTTTTATATACCAGACGTTCACCCATCTGAGAAGGCGTGGCACATACCAGACGTTTAACCAGCTGAGAAGGCCTGGTAAATACCAGATTTTCACCAGCTGAGAAGGCGTGGAACATACCAGACGTTCACCCAGCTGAGAAGGCGTGGTACATACCAGACGCTCACCCAGCTGAGAAGGCGTGGAACATACCAGACATTTACGCAGCTGAGAAGGCGTGGTACATACCAGACATTTACCCAGCTGAGAAGACATGGAACATACCAGACATTTACGTAGCTGAGAAGACATGGAACATACATTTACCCAGCTGAGAAGACATGGACCATACCAGACATTTACCCAGCTGAGAAGACATGGACCATACCAGACATTTACCCAGCTGAGAAGACGCGTGTTACTTACCAGACATTTACCAAGCTGAGAAGACATGGAACATACCAGACATTTACCCAGCTGAGAAGACATGGAACAAACCAGACATTTACCCAGCTCAGAAGGCGTGGTACTTACCAGACATTTACCCAGCTGAGAAGACGCGTGTTACTTACCAGTTTCTGTATTATGCATTTTCTGGAGGGAATGGAGGGCGTGGCAAACATTCAAGTCCTTAACCTCCTCCAGATAAACCAAGGAGAACCCACAGCTTTTACTTCCATCCTCCTAGATACATAGATAGATATATAGATAGATAGATATATATATATATATATATATAAATATATAATCACACAGCAAACAAACATAAATTTTTAATATAAGGTTCAGGTATTTAATTATACATAGAGCCCGTTTTCCTTATGCTTCCTCAACATATATTCTAAAATAATTGAGTCTCATGTTTTTATCTAGCTAACGTCTTTTTATTTTAAACTAGACTGGAAACCCAGCTTTGCTTGCAGTTTTTCCTTTACAAATTAGAACTTTAAACCAGGCTAAGAACATACTTGCGGTTCTAATTAGTTCTCAAAAGTCAAAACAAAATTTGAGGCAAATCGTTCCTTGGGTTCAGGAATCAGGAGTTATGGTTGAACATATGAACAGATAGACATAAAGTCAACCTTTATCGTAAGCTTGCCATGCATGTATATTGCACGTCCAACATATTCCAAGTGGTTCTGATGGTAACCCTAGCATGCTGTGATGTTCTATGGTTTGTCGGATAATGGTTGACGGGGATACACTGACTACTGAGATATAGTCAACTCTGAAAGTTAGTCATCAAATATTTAGACAGTTTCGACTTTAAAGTGTCGCAACGCCTTGGCCTTTGGTTTTACCTCACAAACTTACTTATACTTTTTATAAGAATCTCCTTATAATAAACAAATATGCAGTACGCTCTCGGTATAGTTGATGGCTTACAAAATTATTAAAGGATTAGCGTACATCATCACTCTATACACTATTACCTCGTTGTACATAACCAAACTATCTCTATTAATGGTTAATAAATAACCAGGATTAAATGTTTTTATGTAGTTTTTTCCTCTTTCCAATTATAAACTACTTGAAACAATGAATACCTTAGTTAGCACAAAGGGATGACAAGAGGGAGGATATCTTGATTTATCATTACTAAACCTGAACAATAAAGTATGAATAAACTAAATTTGAACTCATTCACAAGGTCTCAAATTAAAACATTCTGACCTGCACATTTTTTTAAATTTCCCTTTGTCTCGTACTTTATGACAGAAAAGTAAAATATTCATTTTTTACCAATTAAAAAAGCACTTGTTCATAGCCAACTTTGAAGAATACGTATACATTGGAAATTTGTTTAAATGAATGCTATAATGACAAAATAAATAATAATAATAATAATATTAAATACCTGAGACCATTTGGTAGACACAGTCTGGACAATGCTTCGGGATTAAAATGACTCCATGATGTCATATCAGGATAATGTCTAAATAATTAAATAAATTATCTATTTAAAATAAATAGAGAAAAAATCATCTCAAGGTTTGTATGATCTATCTAGAGGTGATGTATCTCCAGGGATTAGTAATTACCTGAGTATTCTAGGTTTGTAAGATGATGTATCTCCTAGGATTAGATCCAAGGAGTGTAATTACCTGAGAATTCTAGGTTTGCAAGATATATCTAGAGATGATGTATATCCTAGGATTAGATCCAAGGAGTGTAATTATCTGAGTATTCTAGGTTTGCAAGATATATCTAGAGGTGATGTATCTCCTAGGATTAGATCCAAGGAGTGTAATTACCTGAGTATTCCAGGTTTGTAAGATCTATCTAGAGATGATGTATCTCCTAGGATTAGATCCAAGGAGTGTCATTACCTGAGTATTCTAGGTTTGTAAGATATATCTAGAGATGATGTATCTCCAGGGATTTTATCCAATGAGTGAATTACCTGAGTATTCTAGGTTTGTAAGATCTATCTATAGGTGATGTATCTCCAGGGATTAGATCCAAGGAGTGTAATTACCTGAGTATTCTAGGTTTGTAAGATCTATCTAGAGGTGATGTATCTCCAGGGATTAAATCCAAGGAGTGAAGTATTTCATCAGGTTCTAACCCGAAGTTAACATCTAGTCCGGAGACCATAAAATACTGGACAAACCTATAAAACAAACCATTTAATTCAACTCGTCTCAACTTAAAGGGACTGTTAGTGTAGTTACAAGTATGCAAAGATAACATTGACAGTTTAACTTATATAACATTTATCTGATCAATAATGTGGAAGGTAAAGTCATCTTTTAAGGTTGGAAAGTAATTAGTTCTGATAATTTCTATAGGTTTTGTATTAGAAATTGAAAATTATCATTATTTAAAATTTTAAACAGAAATATCTAATTCATGCTTAACCAGACAAAGATTTGAATTAGGCATTGCCATCTTTGCCAGGGAAAAAAATATGTGAAATACACTTGTGAATTTTTCAATTATTCTATACCCCGTTAAACATGAGCCTCTATATAGATTTTCTAAAATACATTGCAGAGTATACTGAAGATACTGTTTACTGAAAATAGTACATTCAAATGTTTAGTAACAAGTTGAAAATAGAAGAGATTGTGTCTGTATGGCTTCTAATATTATTGATAAATAAACCCTCTGAATAACAAGATATTCCAAGAAATGTTTTCAATGCTCAGAATAGAAAGGATAAAAAATATCGAGGTTGCGTGATTTATTCCAAACCACACAATTGTACCAAGTACTCTATTAGGAGTAATCAAATCCAACAGATATTTTTCATCGCAATCCTTGAAAAAAGTACCAAGTATTCCAGGGCCGGAACAAGGGAGGGGGCACACGGGAACGTGCCGCCCCCGTGAGATTAAATTTACAGTAAAATAAGTGCCTTTTGGCTGCGTTAGAGGGCTTTGTCCCCCCCCCTTTTTAACATGTGTTCCCCCCCCCCTGCACAAATACTAAAATTTAGTTGTTTTTAACCACATTTCTTAAAAATAGTTAAGAGAGAGTCCTACCATGTAAAAGCGAACCTAATCAGAATAAGTCAACAGGTGATTTAAAAAAAATAAAAAAAGCACAATTTCCCTATTCTTAGGCAAAGATTTGAGCACAACAATTCCAGACCAATTTGTCCCAATTGAACAATGCAACAAGTTCAAAAAATAAAATTAGTTCCATTACATTTTTCATGCGACTTAAAATCATCGATTAATTAACAATAACAGATTGAATACTTGATTCGTCTTTTCAAGATTTAATGGTCTTTCGTTTACAACATACATGAGGCAGAGGCGAAAAGGAGTTATGCGCATGCGGCGTCGTAGAACAGGCTCTCTCTCTGGAGGATGCGCGTAACTCCTTTTGGCTACTGCCTTGGGGTTATTGTGAAAGAAAAACCCCTTATTACATTTTCTTAAATTTTTTTGTATTTACAGTTTTACTCAATCCTCCGTCAAAAAAACAAGTTGTTTCTAAATTCAAATATAAAACACTACATCTCAGCTCTTTTATTTAATTAACTCTAACCTGATTTGCCTATTTTCGTCTAATACAGATGGAGGGAGGGTATCCCCCCCTAGGATGTTTAGATAAGGGGGGGATGATACATGTCCCTATTTTAACTTTTCAATGCCAGCTAATAAAATATAGACTTTGATGATTATGGTGGAACACCCCCCCCCTCTCCCAACCGTGAACGGGATAAGAATTTAGTACACCAGGAATATCAGGATAGAGATAAGAATCTCATCCCCCCCCCCCAACTATTCTTAATTTTCCCATTTCTTACTTATTTTGTAGTTTCTCGTTTGTCGCCATATTTTCGTGTTTGTTTTCCTCTAGGTTAACCTCCACTTAACTATTATACTTTTAAACATTTTTCTGGAAAAATAAAAACATTAATAGTTGATTTTATGTAGGCTTTAGATATCAATATTTAATATTATTAATCATAGCATCATTTTTTTCAGATAACGTGAGTGGACAAAGTATTGCGTAAAAATCTTTTATAAGTTGGCAGAAATTGATTTTTCACGGTTGATTTAGCTGAATATTGCTTAGTTGAGATAAACACTGATTAGTCCAGTTGAACAGTAATTAGTTCAGCTGAACATTGATTATTCCAGTAGAACATTGATTAGTCCAGTTAAACATTGATAAGTCCAGTTGAACATTGATTAGTCCAATTGAGGGCATTGATTAGACCAGTTAAACATTGATTAGTCTAGTTGAACATTGATTAGTCCAGTTGAACATTGATGAGTCCAGTTGATTATTGATTAGTCCAGTTGAACATTTATTAGTCCAGTTGAACATTGATTAATCCCGTTGAACATTGATTAGTCCAGTTGAACATTGATTAGTCCAGTTGAGCATTGATTAGTCCAGTTGAACATTGAACTTGGCGGCCAGGTCTCCATTCATCCTAAAAAATATAAATAATATTAAATGATTTTGTATTGAAACACTGCAGATGTTCAGGGAACTGCCGACGTAATAACAAAACGACTCACATTTTTAATTTTGTCCTGATTAGAAATAAATTCTGTCAATTCCTTTCCTGCATAAATACACAACACACCATTGATGAGAAACCACAATTGTCAATTTTCAAATAGAAAAACAAGGAAAGCTTCTTTGATAATTCCCTATTCCGGTTCCTCTAATAACCGTTATTTGCGGATTTCTGCAGCAGAGACAATGGTGAAATGTCGTTATTTGATAGTTTGAATAAAAAAATATCTTCCTCATTGTTGCTCAAATGAATCAGTAATACTCAAAAAGTATTAGTATTTTTCTAATTGAGAATTAAATATCCAAAAAATGTTCTATCTACCTGAAAGTCCAGTTAACAAGTTCCTGTAGAAGTGGCATCTTGTAGTGTTCAGACACACCCTGTACACAATATTTTATTTTATTCACCCTCTAATATTTATAACAATTTAAATAATTAATTTTCAACTTAATTTACTAAACCCTGTATTCAGCTGTTATAATTTCAACTCAGTCATAAATAAACGAAAACAAAGCACTGTCAATAAAAACCGGTTTTTATATAATATTTTTCATCAAAAACAAAAACATCTGAATTAGCAACAAATAATTAAATTTTACTATGACGTCACCTGAAATGTTTTCAGAATCTGACCAATCCCAGCACTGCTAATTGTTGTCTCAAAGTTCCCGGCACAGAACTTGTTTCTAATTATAGAACAAACATTTTATTTCAATACTAGCTTCAGTACCCTGGAGCATTGCCCAGGGTACTCATAATTACAGGGTGGCCAAAACTTTTTTGAACACATCCGTACAAAAATCCGTACATTTTCAGAAGAAATCCGTACAATCCGTACAATTTTCGAAAAACAATCCGTACAATCCGTACAATTTTTTTTTAAAAAAATCCGTACAATCCGTACATTTTTTTAAACCAATCCGTACATTTTTTTTAAAAATTATTTTCATTGACTTTAGCAGCTTT